AGGGCCAGTTTTTCGTGCCAATAAAAACTTAGGTCAGAGTTGCCCTAGGTACCTCTCCCATCTTGCAACCGCCTCGCACTCGCGAAGCAGGTGTAAACCGGCGTTGATCTCTGAGTCTGTTACTCCCCTCCAGAGGTCTTCCTTGATTGTGCTAGGTACGAGCAGAGAGTTCTCATGAACTTCTCTCTGGCAATAATCACAATGAGGTTGTTCAGCCTTGCCTGGTTATCAGTCTTAGTCTATTGAAGGGTTATTAGTTCCCTAGATCTTTTGGTATTATAGCCTTCAAGAAGTACTTTAGCCTGCCTTAGCCCAGGTGGGCTCACCCAATGTGCTCTTCTTATGTAGGTGTACCACGTTGTCTACGAAGCCGGTTTCAACTATGCTTGTGCGAAGTAGCCTAGCTATGCAATTACCGATAGTTGTCTGCACATTACGTTTTTCAAGTGCCCGGTCAACACCATCATGAAGGCACAGAGTACTGTCTCACCACACTCAACGGCGCCTTGTACTTCCGTAGACAGGGCATACAGGGCAGGGTACCTGGACCTACCCGCTCTGTAGGCATGCTGTTCAGGATGCAAAGGCGCTTGTTTCAGGTTGTTGTACCTGATTTCATGGTCGGTAACTTTCTCCATTGCCTTAAGCAGAAAAGACTTTAGAGACGTTAGACTTATCGGCCTGAAGGACTTAGCGAGAGAGTAGTCTCTCTTTCCTATCTTCGGGATAAAAATAACCCGAGCCCTTTGCCACACCTCGGAGATGTGTGGAAGTAGGATCTCCTTACCTTGGTTCAACAGCACTGGACTTATGCCATCCACCTCAGGAGATTTATACCGCTCGAAAGAGTCCAAGGCCCAGCACACTGTCCGGTGGGTGAATAGACTCCTATCCAGGTTCCAGTCCGCTGGGGATGGCTTAATCTGTCGGCATGAGAACTCCCCCGAAGTCGGAGTGGCATCCGGGAAGTCTGCCGAGAACAGGGCAAGTGCCCTCCCCTTCTTGTTAACGGAGTAGGTGTCAAGGCTTTATGCAGCCTCACAGCTGCAGGGTTCGATGGAATACCCTCACAGAACTTCCTGAAGCTACCACCTTTGGCCTTCCTGATCTCTTAACTGTAATTAGTTAGATTGGCTGTATACTCTGCCCAGGCCCTGTACGCTGGAGTGAAAGGCATCAGTTATAGAGCCGTTCATACAGTCGACGTTCCTGTTATTTGACTGAAAGTCAGTTAGGTTTATCCTTAAGGTCTCGCCTGCTTTGTCCTTTGTTCCCCGTACAAATTGGATAATCCTGTGGTCTGACAAGGAGAGGGCCCCGACGAGACCCTCCATAGAGTAACCGGAGGTACCTCTTCCCTAACCCTCGTAACGAAGATCAGTGTTTGGCCAACATTGTGGATGTTAAGTTCCTCGCTTAGAATCTACTCTAAAAGACACTTACCTGTAGGGTTTGTGTCCGTGCTGCCCCACTCTACACTGTAGCATCGCATTGCAAGATAAGTGGGAGACATCTCCTCTTACAGTACTCCGCCAGTGGGTGTACCTCTTGTAGTGGCACGTTATTATTGTCCCCTGGGAAGTAGGCCGCAATGAACACGATCTCCAAACTTCCGTCACTTGGCGGTAGCGTCATTTGCCATGCGACCAGGTCCTATATTAGAATTAGAAAAATAATTAATACTTTTATTAAGTACTGCACACGCTCTAGGCCTCTCGCAAGGGGGGGGGGGGTTCAGATTACCTTGTTGTTGTTGAGGCCCCTTACCTGATCTGTGTACGTCCATGGCCTTGGCGAACATACTGGCGATGACCGCCGAAGCAGCCACCGCGTGATGCAAGTTGACCTGGGCTACTGTCAAGTGTCGCGGGATCATAGCTGGGGCTCGTCCAGGTTGGAGAGCCGTAATTCGCTTTCGCTATGCCGGTCGAGCTCAAGCGCACTAGCTCGGAAATACTTGCGGGAGCTGGCATTTGTCAGCGCTCCTTGGCAGGAACACCGTGATATGATATTTCCAGCGGAGATTCCACCGGAGAGATATCATCGCCTCTCTTCGGTCCCTTCTAGCCCTCGTGTGCCGGTGCTTTCGAAGCTAGCCAGGTCGCTGTCCTCTTGTCCCTGCAATCTACCAGAAGCATGCACGAAAAATCGGACTACGATGGATTTTGTGTGTTAAGTCACCATTATCGCCTATTCGAAATTGGGCTTACATATGGCCTTATAATAAGACATAATATAGACTACCCTTAACTTATTATAAGCTTTTTCGTCCATTGCAGCAGCAGCACTGCCAGCAGATCTTGGTCGCTCAAATAGCCTACTCGCTGTGTCAGTCCAATTCCTGCCTTGTCTGGTGTCACTTTAAAGTCTGGGCTCGAATTGTAACATCCGTTCACGGATCGAAAACGATACGAAAGAAAATTACGTGATACGTCAGGCAGTATAAACTGAATGGGAGAAAGAGTACGTTCACGTATGTCATAATCCGAAAAATGTGATTTTACGTGACGAGTAGTACGATATCGTATGTGACGATTCGAGCCGTGTTCTGAGCTGCGCAAGTCCCTGTTGTAGAGCTCTGAAACCGCATTCGTCAGTAGTGATGCCGCCGGTTACAACAGGTCGAGGTTTGAGAAATAAATCCTTCAATAATTAATTCTCAGGGAGTAGCATTTCCCCAAAAATTTGGGTGAAAGAACTTCGAAAGAGCTGTTTGACACTTTTTTGACAGCTCAACTCCGCCTTTTTAAACAAAAAGTCCTCAGGGAATTTTTATTCATGATAGGAGGAAAGGGAAAAGAGAAAAAACTCCCAGAGAGTTTCTGTTCAGAATCGGCCTGATTAAGGTGATTGATTGACTCGTTTTTTTTATGTGAAATCGTAATTTTTTCAAACATCGAATAAACCGGATTTTTTTTCGAACAAACCGTTTTTTTTTTTATTTCATACAAATCTTGACCTCTCTTTTAAAAGCATTTCCAGTTTAAGGGAAACCCCTAAATAAATTAAAAATTATATCATTAGTTATTTGGGGATGAACAGTGCATACATCTATATCATATTTGATTCCAATAAATAAATGTTTGGCGCCTCAACGTTTTCCATGGAGCTTCTCCTCCAATTGATTCTTCATGTTGTGACACAAGTGGAGAGAACTTTTACTCCACTTCCGAAGAAACTTTTTATCAAAATCGGCAACCGGGTTTTTTCAAAGTGCAATTTTTCGAATAACTCGAAACCCAGTTAAAAAAAAAAAGTCAAATAATCGAACACCCGAGTACATACAGTGATTCAAACAAATGACCACGTATTAATTTTTTTTTTTTAAATAATCGTAATGTTTTTCGAGCTACATTCTTATTGTTTTCTATAAAACTACCGTCCAAGCTTTAGCCAAACCCATGTAAATCACAGTTTCAAACTTTATACAAAATTTTAGGAAAAATCAACACCATTTCATATAGAATTTAATGCCCTACAAGAATATGCGTAGAAAAAATTTGTATCTCAAACGGTTCAATATTTATAACTTTTTTAATGTAATACAATTTTTTTACATGTTATTTACATGGAAAATTTCAAATACCCACCGACGCATTTTAAAATTGGAATAAAAACTTTTCCAAATGAGAGAATTTACTTCTCAGTAAATATGTTCTTTTAAAGCAATAAATTGGTTAGGTTAGTTTATTTGGATCACCTTCGTATACATACGCAACTGAGTGGGCATTTTTGGAGAGTGATCAAAGAAAATTTAATTTACTCTGCCATGAAAAACAGCTTCTCTTAAAAATACTATCGCCGTTCGGAGTCGGCGTAAAACTGTAGGTCTCTCCACTTTGTGTGAAAACATCAAGGCGCATGCCACAAACCGGAGCAGAAGCTCGGCCAAACACTAGCTTATGTGTAAGCGCCAATCTATTATTATTACATATTATGGTTAAAATACATTTTATTTACTATCTTATACTTATGTACATATGTATGTATGTGTGTATGTGTGTAAATACATACGTGTGTAAGAGTGTAAAGTAAATGAGTTGACTAGCGTGCACTTGCCAACAACAACGTGTTGTTTTCACCGAGCGCCACGGCTCGTTGATGCAGCGCCACACAGTGGGATGTCCCCATGTAAGCTGCGGCCAAAAGTAGTAACCGTACTACAAATTTGCGGTAATTTCGTGTATCCTCTATTCTGCACTAAGGAATAAAGAAATGTGGAAAATAGTGAAAGTCAACGCACTGCCACGCCCACAGCTCTTTTGGGTGGAAATTGTAAATTTAATACGAGTTTGATGAAATTCAGAGTATATGCTAACTTTAACTAGAAAAGCATACATCTGAAAGAACGTAAAAATCGGCTTATATCATAGTTCACTTACTCTAAAAAAAATGTTGTATTTTAATTATTATTTTTTGCTCGTTTACTCCAAAATTTTCCACTTTGGAAGATAATGATGAGTTTAGTTTCTCACTATGACACCTACCTATGCTATGCAGCTAATGCAAGGATGACTTTTTCGTCGAAAACGGATCTCGTCAAGAAATAAAGCACTTCAAGAATTGTATAATGACAAAATGATATATGTATATAGAACTTCAAGTGGAGCTGTGTTATCTAGTTCAGTAGATATGTATATAAAAATTTAAAGCAATGCTTGATATATTAAAAAGAAACTGGTCATCAATCAGACTTACAGGCTTATTACACCTTGCGACAGCACACACAACAAAGTCAATATACTCGCAAAACTCTAGGAGCCAATTATAGAAAACTACGTTTTTAGTTTTTTTTTTTTCGTCAGAACACAGGACTTAAAATTAAAAAAATATGATTAATTCATATTTAAAAAATTCAGCCCATAGCTTCGTGAGTATGTAGATTGCTTCGTGTGTTTTGATTTTTTTGTTTGCAGAATGTAGTAGAAAAATTAATTTAAATTACTAGCGACAAAATCAAAAATTTTTCCTACAAATTTATTTTGTACTTTGTATCTACTTTCAGGTCGTCCATTTTTTTTTTTGATTTGGTTTAGCTAGATATTTTGCTATAAGTCTGCGTAATTGCTTCTTTAGAATTCGCTAGACCGTTTTCACTATTTTTGGCTGCTGTAGTCCCATTGTGCGCCACAAATATGACTTCAAAACATCAATATTTCAATACATACATACATACATACATATTTACTTGTTTTTGTCTAAAGCCCCACTGAACGGTTGATTGCTACCCCCCAACTGCATGTAAAAATAATGAATATCGGGTGCAAAGGTTATCAGTGCTGTGCACGAAAATATCGCATGCTATCGTCAAATGGTTGGGGGCTCGAAAGGAATATTTTTGCAAAATATCAATGATAACAAAGATGTTAACTCCATGCTAAACTGCCAGACGCAGTGTAAAATGTATACACGTATGCCTAGACCGTCATTTGCCACCATTGGAGCCGAGAATTCAAGCATGGCTGGGAGTCGATGGAAGATGATCGCAGGTCAGGGCATTCAAACACTGTCGTTACAATTGTTTTTGTTTTTTTTTTTTTTGATTCTGAAGGTGTTCTTTTCGACTATCTTCCTAAACAAACTAAAATGAACGGAGACTAAGTGCGTCAAGTTGTTGTCGAGAAGCGGGGAATCTAAAGGAGTCCTGATCGAGACCGGATTTAAAGAAATCAACCACCCACCATACAGTCCACAAATAGCCCCCAGCGATTACTTTCTGTTCTTCAATTTGAAGAAAAACATCCGAGGACGAAGACTTTCGAGTGAAGAAGAAATGAAGGCGGCAGTAGGCTAGCATTTCGAAGACAAAGACGGCGAATACTTTTTCACTGGTTGAAAATCCCTTTATTATAATTGTAAGAAGTGTATTGAAGTAGAGGGAGATTATATAGAAAAATTAAATTTTTATACATTTCTATCAGCTATTTTAATACCTTACTTACCTTTAATACCGCTTCAATCTCAGCATGAATAGCTTACAAAGTCACTGACATTCACTCCCGAAAGCTAGTGAAACTTATTAATTAGCACAAAATAACTCGAAACACAACAAATACATATCCATCTATGCACATATGTCTGCATGTGTGTATACTGGTATTAATAATAATATTTTCGCGCTTACACTTTTGCTAAGTATTTGGCCGAGCTTCTCCCTCAATTTGTCGTGTGCGTTTTGAGGTTACACAAGTGGAGGCACCTACAGTTCTACGTCGTCACCGGACGGCAAATGGATTTTATGAGAAGCTTTTTCAAGACAAAAATATGTACACTCGGGGGTTGGCTCAGGGATCACACGATTTGTACCTACAGATTGGTCCATTTTTAGCGTTGCAGAGTGGTGTTTTTTTTTGGAAACTTGCTATTGAGCTGAACTCTGTGAAAGCCAAATTTACAAATCGTGTGAACTCTGCGTAAGAAAAAAATTTTTTTTTTTATGTTGCTTTGACCAGGGATCGAATCTTGGTCGTACGTAGTGGTAGTACGCACCTCTACCCACACGGCTACAGCGGCCGCCATTATCACTGCCGTGCAGCACATATTCTTGGCAAACACTCGAAAATGCAAATTACATATTCTGAAAATCTAAGTAAAATAATGTAAACACCTACTTATATAGGTTTACGCAAAAATTATTCGTATGAAAACATGTATGTATGTATGTATAGATACTTTTGCTGGAAAATTGTGCGACTGATAGACGTGTAGGCGCAATTGAACTAGATGCAGACACATACATACATACATATATACATATGTACTTACTAGGGGTGATAAAAAAAATATGGGAGATATTTAATTTGGATATGTTACACCCTAGAAAAATAATTGGTACGAATTTAGAACCGTTTCCCACTGGTGTTGCTTGCACTGTTGTTAAAACGAGGCGAAAGCGAACACAGTGCGAAAATTCTATGTAGATGGGCCTTAAGGGCCTGTCGACTTGCAATCTTCATTCGAGTTTGACCTGTTTCGTCCAGATTTGAAAGGGGATTGCCGTTAGTTTTATAAACGACGAGTGCCAAAATCGATTAGTCATTGGCATATGAGATCACACCACTAGTTATTTGTAAAATGCTTCGAAGTTGAAACGAAACCCTCAAGTCATTGTTTAGCAGGCAAACATTTGCTGGCGGATAAAAACCAGGACGATAGGTGAACATTCTTCCACGACGAAAGGCCAATGTTAACGGTAAAGAGCACGACATAGTTCCTATGCGATGCCACAGTAAGCTCAAATTCGTAATGAAACTCTACCCAAACACAACATACGGCGCCCGTCCGACAGGAAACAGTCTTGGTTCTCGATTGAACAACATACCAGAAGAGTTGTGCCTCGCCCCAATTAAGATTGGATTTGGACAACCTACTATAAAACGGTTCCTCTTGGCCTCAGTATCTCGGAGTTGCAAGGTAAAGATGAGAACAACTGACGGTCTTGGGTGGGGCTCGGTAAACCGTTACTACAACAAGAGAATCAAGCTGTGAGTAAATATATCGAAAGTTTTCCATAGGTTAGTGCTCTACCGTGAACTGCGTTTACTTGATGTTGGTGCATTGCACTCTACGGCAACCCGGCTGATGTGCTACTGCGGAGCTCAGATCAATTCAGTATTTTGGAGTGTAAGGGCCGGTTGTTCAATGTCTGGTTATCACTACCACTACACTATCGACGATTTCGACATCATGCATGTAACATGTGATCGATAGAGCAGTAGTTGTGCTTAACCGGAGCTTTTACCTCCGATTTGTGCTAATCAGACATTGAACAACCGGCCCTAAGAGAGAAAGATTCTACGGCCTTTTTGTATTGGCGACGGTGAATACCACGGATGATATAACGATGAGTGTATGAGTTTTAAAACGGCATAGACAAGGTGCCACTGGCTCGGTCATATAGAACGAATAGACACGAGCATTTCAGCCCAGAAAGTGTTCAACGCGGATCCCGCTGTTGGAAAGAGGAAGACCTTCTCGGCGATAGAAAGACCAGTTGGAGAAGAGCTAAGCTTCACTTAGCATTTCCCATTGGAGATAAAGGAAGAGATATGGAACAGCATTATGCACATGTAAATGAATTTCCGAAATAGATGGTTCTACGTACTTGGGGACTCACAACTTAGCGAGATTTGCTTTTTTTATTGATACCGATCAATAGTTGCTGCTAGACTTTTTGAGATGGAAAGCAAAATTTTAATTTTGGAAAATTGTCCAGGACTTAACTCCGTTTGGATTACCCACGCAAGCACATATTTATGGTTACACGTACATATTTATGTATGTAGATATGTTAATTTGTGGCCTTTGCGATCACTGGCAATGAACAAAATTGGCCATAGGTTTCGGTCATTTTTATCAATGTTATTTAAAACTGTTTTTGTGCTGGTAATTTTGACAAGCTTCGTTATCAGCATGATACATATAAATATTTTCGTTGACTACACTTGAATACAAGTTGTTTGATCGCGCTGGCGATCGTATGCGTAAGATCGACGACTAGTAACGGCTTGGATAGAGGAAAGCTTCACAACAACACATACAATGTACATAAATTTGCCAGCATGTACATATGTATGATTGCACATTAGGGTGGTTCTTAAGTGTAGGAAGCAAACTCTTACATCAGATTTCCTAAGCTTCAACACCCACATCGATGCTACCATAGTCGAAGATAACATATATAAACATTGGTCCCGATTGAAGTCGTTTAGGGCGTGTCGCACAGGGGTCAAAGTTCAGATTACCTTATGAAGACGTCTTAACCGACTCTAATCGAGACCAATATACGTGATATCCACGACTTTAGTAGTATCGATTTTGATATCTGTGACCGTGTTGTTACCGATTGAGGGGATGAGACTGAAAAAATCGTTAATTTGACTTTTAAGGACCACCCTAATGTATGTAAATACCCAGTAGAACTTGGGAGCAACGTATGATTGCTCCGTGAGTACTCCCTTGCGATTTAATGAATACACCCCTTATTGCTCCCTATGCTTCTGTGCATAAGCATGCCATTTTGTAGATAGATAGATAATTGAACCAAGCAGCACCGGTCAGTAGGTCCATAATGCCCTTAACTATTCACAACACCTCAGCCAGCCCAAACGACTCTATAATGTAATTTTGTATACTACATATCTTAAATATTGTACGTCCTAGGCATGGGCGTAGCCAGGTAGGGGCGGGAGGGGTGCTCGATCCCCCCCTAACTTTCAAATTTTCCTTATATATATATAAAATAGTACCCTGAAATGCCAGCTTTATAGGGTCGAGCACCCCTCTCCCCCCTAAATTCCATTCTGGCTACGCCGATGGTCCTAGGGGAGCTAGTAGTCCCTTTTACCTCTAAAACGAGCAATCACGAGGTACACAGAGATATATCAAACCACAAAATTTCTAAGAGAGCAATACGGGGGTAATCTCAGGAGAACCTCTCCGAAACCTCCAAAAAAGGTAACAATGGAGTACACATAGAAAACCATGCCATATTACTCCCGAACGAGCAATTTGGGAGTACTCTCATAAGAGTCATCCCGAAAGCCTCCTGTTCGAGGAATAAAACATGCATTTCTGTTCTCCCAAATTCCAGTTCATGGAGGGGGCTTCTCCTTGGGGTAGTCCCAGTATGCACGTGAATTTTCGGAATCGGAAAACTCCGTTTCTTTTCTGACGACTTCTAATTATAATATCCAATTGTTTCTTTTACCATTTGTTAATACTAATGATTTTTATGGGACCCCCTATTAAATTTTTTTTTTGGTTTTTGGGAGGAACCAATAAAAAATAGGTAAACAAATCTCGCTTATTGCTTGGAAATCATGTCCCAGAGAGCATGCTTTTACTGCTCACTTAGCAGATCCCCCATATGCCTCCTAAGCGCGTAATAAAGAAGAACAAAACCGACACATCTCGCTTATTGCTCCGAAATCAGGCCAAAGGGAGTACTCTTTTATTCCTCACATAGGGAGAACTTCACTCACTCACTTGGTGGGTGTGTACATAGGTCTACTGGCATAAAACACTTCCAATCAACTCAGCCGGCATATGGAGTGGAAAGGTTACCTACGCGTCCGAAAAGCCTCGAAAAAATCAAGTTAACTGAGTCGATTCGTCAGTCGCGCCTATCAAACGATCTACAAGCAGCCATCCATTATCATTTCTCCATCATCCCTTTTTATGTGGCTATACGACGACGAAGCGTAGAACTTTCAGTGTTCATTTGCCAACCGTTGGCATCGGTTCTGGTTCTCGGTGGCGCTCTAATTCGTTGCTCTTTATTATTTAATACATACATTGCTCATTACAAACTTGTACTTGTGCTACATACCTACCTACCTACATAGTTTATTATACCGCTTTGAACCGCACAATTCTTGAAAGTATCAGGTTCGAAGTTTTTTTAAAATTTCAAACTCGCAATACACTTGTGGAGTTTCTTATTTAAACTAAAAAAAAAAAAAAAACGGCTGGACTTAAAGACTACATACATACATATGTATGTACATATGCTAAAATAAAAAAAATAAAAACACAAAGCGTGCTTCCTGTGAAACACGTGGGTTTTCTGCGAGCCACTAACTACACCGAGCGCGATCACTGTGATCACATTTTGCCAGACATCGCCAGAGAGCCCATACAAAAGTGCCTCACATAAGTATATACAAATGTATGTACATACGAATGCCTTGTATGAGCTTGTTTGAATAAAAAGCGGACCTACATACATAAGTACGGAGTGACGTTATTGATTAGTTAAAAAAAAAAATCGCCCATTACTAACGACATTCGGTTTGTGCCCTGTGCGTAGTTTCGCTATTGATGCTTTGTGGAAATAAATTTTAATTAAATTAAGCACTTGGCGAGTGTTAAAACTTATTGTCGATTAAAATTCGTACGTATATTTAAACAAAAAAGTGACAAAATGTCTTCGAAAACAGCACTTGTTGGTGGCAAGCAATTGTTGGTCGTTGGCAGTGGCGGTCGTGAGCACGCGATTTGCTGGAAACTATCACAGAGTGAGCAGGTGGTTAAAATCTACGCGCTACCCGGCAGCCATGGCATTGCCCAAGTACCGAAGTGTTCCAATCTCAGCGGTGTAAATGCCAAAGACTTTCAGGTATGTAAATATTTTAAAGTTTACATTGTTTTTTTTTTTTTTTCATATTCAAACTAAGCATAGATTAGTACTTGCTTCCAAGCGCTATGTAGTTGTTAGGTTGCTTGGTTTTTACCGGCTACAAACAGTTTTATTGGGTGAGAAAGCGCCAAACGTGAATAGCGACATTGAAATTTCTAAATCAACGCTAATGGGGAAATATTCTTACCTGCATACTATATGTACATACATATCTATGTTTGTATGTATGCGTGGATGTGTGTGCATCCACTCATGTTTATATACAGTATCGGCCATATCTATTAGCACGACATTTCAAAGTGAGATTGTCTTCTTCCACTTACATACATATGTCCTTTTATATTTAAGAATTTTCGGGAAAATTTTCCATTAATGGGCCAGGCTTTGAAAAAAAGCGGTGAGTGGGGGTATGGGGGTGGTATTGAATTTAAAAAAAAGCGGCGCAAGCAAAAATTTTTAATAAAAATTTTCGTGATTTTTTATTACAAATTTTCAATATACATACATATGTATATCGAAGTATAGAATTTTTTAGAAAAAAGATCCGTAATTACTATTTAAACAAAGTTTTTCATTTCTTCAATGTGTTTTTATTCATAACATATTATTTTCTATAAAACGAAATGTATAATTTAAAAAATCTATGCAAAAATGTATTGCCAAAAAACTTACAACTAAGAGGCACTTAAATTCGAATGAAAAACTACGAAATTTTATGGCTTATAGGTATACTTAACTGCTTCGATAAGTTTTTGGAACGGATCTTCCCGATTTTTTTTTTGTATGGACTTTCTCCATAAAACTCAAGAATTATGTCCGCAAAATTGGCAGGGTTGTTATAGTTGTCCGTTTGAAAATACCATTTGACGACCCGCCACTCTGACTCGATGCGCTGGGTATGAGTCCTATGTGGAGCCACAAAAGGCTTGTCTGGGTCGCTGTGATTGGCCTTTTGGTGCTCATACCTAGATCTCGGTAAGCAATCGTACGCCTTTCCGTAGTCCGTGCGAATAGTCGTACCTTCAGCTACATGCTTCTGAATTATGGGTATGAGCACCTCTGCCGATCGCACATTTTCCGGACACACTTCGAGTCTGAGGTCCTAAAGAGGTTTACAACTATTAGTATTTGTACAGAAAATGGTGAAAATATCGATCAATGAGTACCTCCTCAAAACCCCCTGCGAATTTAGGAAGTCGTCCATAAAAAACTACAAAAAACTGCAACAAATTTTCACTTAAATTTCAGATTTTTTGGAGTACACAGTTTAATATCCAATTTTAGTCTGATAATGTGCAAGTTTCAAGTCGCTAAAAATTACGGTTGAGTTTTTAGAATTATTTTGCCGAAGATGTTGAGCTTTTCTTCCACATACAAATAAATTAAGTTTATATTTTATATGGAAGCAAATGCGGTGAAAAAATTCAAACTAAAATTGAATGGACTGTACCTATACTCGAAACAAATCTAACACTTGTGAGAAAAAAATGGAAAATTTGGGTGTAATTTTTTTGAATTTTATTGTAGTTTCTACAAAGTTTTAAGCTTGGGTTCATATGGGTTTTGTAAAAGAATGAACTGTATTTAAATTCAAAATTCTTAAAAATAAATAAATAAAAATAAGTGACAAACAATAGCGCTTTCGAATGGCGTACTATAGATATGACCGATACCGTATATGTATGTATATATATGCATATAAAGTAAATACATATGTATGTACGAACTTGTGTACGGCAAACATAGATAAATGATATCGCTTTAGCGTGAGTTGAAATTGTTCTATGTCTAATAATAGTGTTTATAAAAAGGCGGTACTTAATAGAAGTCGTACGCCTAGTACTTTAAGCTTGGCGGTTATGGCGGGCAAAACCAGAAGACCCAACAAATTTTATTTAAAAAAAAAATTTATAATAAATATGGTCACCGTAATTATAAGGCTATTTTGTACTACATGTTAATAACATTTTTATTTTCTATGCTTTGAATAAAATTTTACTGAAAAGTACTGATTTTTATAGCAAGAAAAATTCTAAAGTACTGATTTCGCGCAAAAAAAAATCTGGCAACCCTAGATATAGGGTGTTTTTGAAGCGGCAGCTGAGATAGGACGTTTTCGAAATAAATTCTGAAATAGGGCGTTCTTCAATCAAATTCCTTCAATGTTTTTGCTCAACTTTAAGAAATTTCTCTTAAACTATTAATTTTACCAGTTTCAAAATGTTAAAACTTGAAGTCAGATATCAGATTACTACGAATATTGACATTTCTTAAGTTGTGATGGGACAGAAAAAATTTGTGAAAAATCGCTAAAACAACAGTCATTTGTTGGGAAAAAACTGGAGCATGTAGAACCGACTGTCTTGTGCATAAGAAGACACCATGCTCTTAAGTAGACCGACTATACAAACAAAATCTATTATTTATATTTATATTCATCAAGAACCAATCAACACCTTCGTCAACTCTCACTTCTTGAATTCCATCATCGAACACCAACGCCACCTATTGCAGACGAAGAGTTCGAGTTGCTTCGTGAGGCTGGCGATATTTTGACACAACTACATTCTTTAGCAGTTTAAACTGTTCAGTCCAATTTGAAATATCTTCAATCATCTTACATCCCTCTCCCTATATAATTAAGACAACATGTAGTTGTATTCACTGATTTCTGCAAAGTTTAATAAGCTGCTACGTTAACGAAACAGTGAAAGATTTTCGTTCGGTTTTCTTTTTATTTATTTTTTTTAATTAATTTACTGCTGTACAGTATTCAGATAAAAAAGTTATAAAAATATTTTGATTCCATTTTCAATAAAATAAGAATTTAGAAACAAACCGCTGGTTCAGGGTTTGGAAGACTCATATTAATGGAAACTTGGACTTCGGGCTTCAAAGATAAATAACTGCTTTAAAATATTTGTACAAGCTGATCTTCATCCGCTCAGAACATAGGGCTTGAAGTTATATCTGGAAAATCCCGGTTGTTCGATTAATAATAATAATAACATTTGCTAAGTGTTTGGCCGAGCTTCTCCTCCAATTTGTATTGTGCGCCAAGGCAGAAATATACTCGCAGCTTTGTCATTACCTGCCGAAGGGCGACCGCTGTTAGAATACACTTTCTAATTTAGAAGTTGCTTGGGATCGAACCCAGGTCCTACGGAGTAGTAATACGCACCTCTAACCACTCAGCTATAGATTAAAAAATCCTAATAACCGGGTAACAAAATAAACGGATATTAACCAGATATCAGGATGATAAATTGAACCAATTTTAACCTGATATCCGGATTTTTTCCGCATACCGGAATATTCGAACGAGTCGAAAATACGAAAGGTCCCACCCCCAATGGCACATTTAATTGACGGATGGGTTTGGTGGCGGTGTCCTCTATCGGGAACTCTTAGTCAAAGTAAGGCATATTGTTTTTGTAACAGCATAAAATCTCACTAAAGTGGTTTTGAGGAATTCTGCTAAAGTCACAAGTCCTGGGTCCCTACTGTCATGGGAGCGCTAAGTTAGGTTTCCAGATCACTTTAGCGTATTTTGAGGTAGATGTACATAGCTGTCATTTAGGAAGCAGTCGATTGGCTACTCAATTGTGGCAAGATGAACATCTACTATAACAGTTTAGTGTGAGATTTTGGACTCACTATGCGCTCAAATTGTCCGAGGATGCATGAGCTCTTTCTCGGTGGTGTCTCAAAATTTCCTAGTTAGAGTTATGTTAACAATAGATAAACGTGGAGATTGATATATAATACATTTTAATATATAATACATTTTAGTCTAGGGTTAAATACAGTAACGCATCCAATTTACACTAGCTACAATGTAGAGACCCTTTAAATACGTCGTTTTAAATTATTGCGGCTGGTATTTTTTTGCCTCCTGTTCTTTGTCAAACCAGTTTTTTGTGTATTGAAGCTGCTAGCCTTGTAGTTCAAATTTCCCGGATATGCTGATGTACGTAGCGGTGGCACAATCTCTGTAGACAACTTTGGTGTCACTCCGTCGATTTTCCCAAAGTTGAAGGGGTGTGTGCGTATGTATTCGATTGCTCGTAGCACGTAGTCGGGTGTTTTAGGAATGTGATCGCCCACCGGATGGTAGCCGGTTTCGTCCGCGGTGTAGGTCAATTTGATTGGCAAACCTTCGGGGGAGACGTAGCTGGAAGTGCCTTGTATGGCCACACCAGCAGTACCTTGCTCCGTGCCAATAATACCGTTGCCTGTTTCATACTGATAACGGTAACTGCCGTCATTGTTCATTTCCTGATCATTCCGCAAAATTGACACTTTTTGGCCACTTGAAATGCTGTTTCGGCGGCTGAGATCGTTGCGCTTCTGTAAGAAGTTTTTGTTGCTAGTTAAGACTTTTGCTGGTTGTTTGCGAGCTGTTGTCGTTGTTGGTGCACGGTACTTCCCGCTAAAGGTTTTGTCTTCACGCGCGTTCGTCATCAGAGCCAAAGTGGTGAGAAGTAAGAGACTCTATGGAATGGAATTAAACACATTTTTTTTTTATTGCTGTACCTTTTTCTAAATTAAAAATGCGCAAAATTTCTTTTAAGGAATTTCTTACAAAGAGCTTCATTTTTTTTTAAATAATCCGTATACTCCGTAAGCTTCCAAGTCAAAACTGCAACTGTTGTTGCCAACCTGCCGGCTTTATGTTTTTATACCGATCATTATGAAATGATGATACAAAACCATTTTAGTGAAAAAAACGGTTGGCGTCTGGTTTTTTAACAATTTTAGCTCCAATAAATTAAAATTTAACTTTTCGCACGCTCATTGGTGAACCAGTTGCGCTAATAAAAATCGACTGCGTGGGTCGGCAGCGAAGCAAACTCGCCATTGAGAAGAAGTTGCTCCAAATTGCAGCGTCTGCCTGAAAATATTTTGTTTGGACTTGCATGGAGTTGAAATGAGAATTCGAGCATAATGCGCGTAGTTAATAAAAAATTTGGTACATCTCATCAGCATTTGCATTTAATCATTTTATCAGCGTCAGTATGTACCAAACGATTTGAAAGATGTTGGCGGTATGCCAGTGCCGAGCGTGTGAGCTGTTCGCACCAAAACAATGTATGTACATACAACAAGTTTTTGATTTATAGCCGATAAATAAGAATTCAGACATACTTAGTTCTGCACTGGTTTGACCATTTTCGCAGATGAAATTCGCTTATTTCGGAAGTTGTCAAGTTGGTGGTTATTTTTTTCTCAGTTAACCCGTTGGTGTTTTTTTTTTGTTCACATGTTTTATTAGTTTTACCTATTTTTGTGATTTATTAACTACTGGTCTGATTAAGCATGTATTGTATGTATTTTGTACGTACTCCATTACCCAGAAATTAGCAGAACTTTTAAAAACTTAGCGATCTGTTGAGTTTAGTTTTAGCCTCACATTTTCTTAAGTGACATTTTAATTGCAATGGTACCAGTGGTTGTGCGAAGTTATGCGAAGTATGCATAATCAGACCTTAAGCCCATGGTGAAACGAATACGAATGTATTCTATCGGTCTTGAACTAAGCCAATGTCAAAAAGACGTATTTTATTTTATTTTTTTCAAACATAGACTGGTCACAATTAGAATTCTCATACAGAAGTCGGCCGCTTAGGCCGTGGCGTTAGAGGTGCATACTTTGGTCACCATTAGAGATTTTTTTACGATTTATAGAGAAAGTTTGAAAAACGCCTTTGTATTGAGATCAACGATACTGATACCATTTGCGATTTGGATTGTCAGCTCCTATTTTCTTTTCCAACATCATGCTGAAGAAGTCGTACAAAAGTGAGACGCCTTTGTTAGAACCTTGTTTCGTTTCGAAAAGTTTGGACGGTTTGTTGCCAGAAGTAAGGCCTCGAAATAGCATGTGTAAGCTATGCGGTCTTTTGGTTCTAGGCTAGATTGAATCTCAAACTGCTCGCATGTAAATTGTTCTACTCGGGCAGGTTCTGCAATTCACTTACGAGTGAATTTCAATCCCTGCCAATTTGAATTCAAAGCGAACTTGACTCAAATTCACTCGGAAGTGAATTGCAGAACCTGCTGGACTATCTCTTTTCTTCTTTATAAAAATTCGCCCATCTTCCTCATTTATTCTCGATATCGCTCACGACGCTAGATGTTTCCAGTGCGTTTACAATAATTTTTTAAAAGCAGGTACCAATTTCGCGATAAAAGAGAAACTAAAGTGATCGACTCTTTGTGCAATCTGACATCTAATTGCATTTTTAACAGTATTACAGAAAATGTTCTGAAACTATAAAAAGTTTGCAAATTCCTTTCCTTTTTCAGGGTATTGCCAATTGGTGTAAGAAACAATCCATAGACTTGGTTATCGTTGGTCCGGAGGATCCTCTCGCCAATGGGCTTGGCGACGCTCTCAATAAGGCTGGAGTACGTTGTTTTGGTCCCAACAAAAAAGGCGCCCAAATAGAAGCGGATAAAAAATGGGCTAAGGACTTTATGCTGCGTCACAGTATACCCACGGCGCGTTATGAATCTTTTACCGATGTGAAGAAAGCTAAGGAGTTTATTAACAAGTAAGTGTCGTAGAATCAAAGAGCTGTTGAGCTCATAATTAGCTAAGGTTTTTTGAAAAGGGACCCAATAACGGCAAATTTATCGACTTGCCTTAATCCTGACTGGCAAATATGACAGTGCGTTTAATCATAGTCAAGCTAGCTCTGCATCTAGAGATGCATATGTAATCTGAGACATGGTGCTCAAGTTCAAGTCCGCGAGCACTTTCACCCAAACCCATTTTCCAATCGCATATTTTTCTGTCGAAAACCACTCTAATATAAAGAAAATGTGGCTCACAAGCCTAAGAATACCCATTTTAACATGTTTTTTCTATCCTTTGGCTGAAAGCCGTTGCAGTTGTATGTATTCCTAGCGCTCGCTGAGCTGAAATGAATTCGGCGAGGATGCAATATTCTGGCGCCACACAAAAGGTCAAACATTCTTAACCAATTCTGATTGAATGGGTGTTTTCTCTTATTTTCTGATAGCCGCCACCTCCATCGACCCGAAAGCTTTCGACGCTTCCAAGAAATTTAGAGCCCAAACACTGAGGCTGTCAACGAAAATTCTACCACTGAATCTGAATAGCTACGAATGTAGCATATACCTTGAATGCATACGTTCGTAGTAATTCAGATTTAGTGAGCGCATTCTCGTAGATTTCACGAAAATCGGATTATGATGGATTCAGCGATAGCCCAGAATCTTACGGAACTAGCTTGCTAATCAACCAGTCTTTTATTAAACTTAAGTTACTACTTACTCCAACCACGGAAATTAAAGGGTGAAGTGTGGGGTCTTTTCCTTTACCGAAAAACTTTTCTCTGTACACATATGTACATAGTTTAAAATGAAATTTTGATTTAAGCCACATTTATTTGGATTCCCATTGCAGTGGAACTAAGTAAGAGACTTCTTAGGAAAAACTACATTCCACTCTACCATTCTGCTTTAATTTAATTTTATATTTTTTAAGCGCATCCTACAAGGCACTCGTCGTCAAAGCCGCCGGTCTTGCGGCCGGCAAAGGCGTAGTAGTGGCAGCAGACGCTGCCGAGGCCTGTCAAGCAGTCGATGAGATACTGGGCCAACGCAAATATGGCAATGCTGGCGAAACAGTTGTTATTGAGGAACTACTCGTCGGCGAGGAAGTTTCGGTACTCGCCTTTGTTGATACTCACTACGCTCAAGCAATGTTACCCGCGCAAGACCATAAACGTCTACGCGATGGTGACGAGGGTCCTAATACTGGCGGCATGGGTGCCTACTGTCCCTGTCCATTGATACCACCCGATGATTTGGAACGCATCAATCGAGCTATATTGCAAAAAGCCGTGGACGCTCTACGTCAAGAGGGTATACACTATTGTGGTGTACTCTATGCGGGCCTAATGCTAACTGCTGATGGTCCCAAGGTGTTGGAGTTTAATTGCCGCTTTGGCGATCCAGAAACACAGGTTATACTGCCGCTACTCGAGACTGATTTGTATGCAATAATGAGCGCTTGTGTTGAGAATCGTTTGAAGGAAGTTACGCTTCAGTGGCGAGAGGATGTAAGTGCCGTGGGTGTGGTCATGGCCAGTGCTGGCTACCCAGAGACCTCGACAAAGGGTTGCATTATCGAGGGTACATAATCGTAGCTCAAAGAAAAATATTAAATTATACATTTTTTTCGATTTTATGTCTCTTTTAAGGTGTGCCGCCTCTTACGGCCAATGAGCTGATCTTTCATAGTGGTGTAGCTGTTGACAAGGCCGGTCGGTTTCTCACCAATGGCGGACGTGTCCTTATAGCGGTGGCACTGCGCAAGGATTTGCGGCAAGCAGCAGCGGATGCAACTAGGATATGCCAAGGTATCACATTTGTAGGCGGAGCGGCACAATTCCGAACCGATATTGCGGAGAAAGCATTCAAAATGTAATTACTCATTTGGCAAAACACATGCTCAAGACGCATCAATAAAAATAAATAAAAATCTTTTATATGAAACTTGAAAAACAAATGATTCAATGGCGTTTCATTTCCTCGACAGGCTGAAGGCGAACAACGCTCCGATGCTTAAGGGGCTCTCCTACAAGGACAGTGGTGTTGACATAGACGCAGGCGACGATCTGGTGCAACGCATAAAACCGTTGTCGCGCGGAACGCAACGACCTGGCGTCGTAGGTGGTCTGGGAGGTTTCGGTGGATTGTTTCGCCTTAATGAGGTGAGCTAAATAATTTCGCAAAACGCAGGCGCAATGCTGATTTGAATTTATGCCTTAGCTAAACTATACAAATCCGGTTATAAGTGAAGCTATCAATGGTGTGGGCACGAAGATAAAGCTTGCGCTCGAGCAGAAAATGTACGAGAGTATTGGCTATGATCTGCTCGCCATGTGCGCCAACGATGTGCTGGAATCGGGTGCTGAGCCAGTGGCCTTCTTGGACTACATAGCTTGTGGCAAGCTGCAAGTGCCTGTTGCAGCTCAGATTGTGAAGGGGATTGCGGAGGGTTGCCGAGCCGCCGATTGCGCTCTTTTGGGTGAGTTGCGACGTCGATATGTAAGAATTCAGCATCTCAAATCCCGTAATTTCTTCCATACTAGGCGGCGAAACCGCAGAAATGCCCTCAGTCTATGAGGTGGGTAAATACGACATCGCTGGCTATTGCGTAGGCATTCTCGAGGCTGGCAAGGAGTTGCCGAAATTTAAGCAGTACGAGGAAGGTGATCTGCTGATTTCGCTGCCAGCGAATGGACTGCATTGTGCAGGTTTTCATGCATTGCTGAAGCAACTAGAAGCGGCGGACATCGACCATGCGGAAAAGTGCGAGTTCGGCGATGACACAAAGTCGTTAGGTAAATTATGATGGACTTTGCTTGCGTATTTTGGTCTGCCGTTTGGTTCAGCACACTCACTTTAAAGTGTGGAATAAAAGTAAAATCAGTCTAAGCCCCCGAACTGAGATTCCTCCGTAACTCTCTTTTCTCAGGTCAACAACTTTGCGAACCATCAAGGATATACGTTAAAGAAATACTCGCACTCCTACGAGAATGCGATGTCAAAGCTATATCCCATATTGGCACAGGCTTACTACCAGACGTACAACGCATTATACCGCCGGACCACGAGATCTCTCTGGATTTCGGTGATCTGAAAATACCCACAATATATGGTTGGTTAGCGGCTAAGCTGCGTCTGAGTCCGCAGACGCTTTTGGACAACCTAAATTGCGGCATTGGACTCGTGGTGATTGTACCAAAGAAGTGCACCGTTTGGAAATCCCTGCTTGGCGCCGGCGCTAAGGTGTTTGGCGTATTGAAACGTAAATTGCAGACGTGTCACCAAAAACACCAAATCGAGGTACGCAACTTTGTTGAAGGCTTGGAGAAAATCGCAGACCGTTTCGGCGGACTTTCGGAGAGGCATGCGCGCACCTTGGATGAGCCACACCAACGCGATTTAGCATTGGAACTTTGTGATGGAGCCTTAACTCAGCAGCGTAACGGCTCGTTCACAACAAAGCTGGGCAGACGTTTGACGCCCGTGCCACAGACTTACAAGGATCCGGTGTTAGTGTTGGGCACTGATGGTGTGGGTTCCAAAATTAAGATTGCACAGCAAACAGACCGCAATGGCACGGTCGGCGTAGACTTGGTGGCAATGTGCGTCAATGATATACTTTGCAATGGCGCCGAACCGTTGACATTTTCGAGCTATTATGCGTGTGGAGATTTGGTCGAGGAGGTGGCAGCTACAATTACGGGGGGCGTGATTGAAGGTGCATCACAAGCGGGCAGCAGTTTAGTGGGTGAGTAGTCAGAGAAATTCCATCGTTCATTTTAACTCTCAAAATGAAAACAATACCTTTTTTCCCAACAGAGACACACATTGCCGAAGTGCCATTACTTTACGCATCCGATGTTTACGACCTTGCCGGCTTCTCACTCGGTATCGCCGAGTACCCGCGCCTACTGCCACGCACGGATGAAATTCGTGCTGGCGATGTCCTTATCGGTCTTCCGTCGTCGGGCGTACACAGCAACGGCTTCAGCCTCGTGCATGCCATTATGAAACGCGCCGGCGTAACATTTGAGGATAAAGCGCCTTTCAGCCCCTACACATTTGGCGAAGAACTTCTTACACCAACGCGTATTTATGTCAAGGCCCTACTTCCACTTCTGCGTCAGGGTTATGTGAAAGCTTTGGCACACATCACCGGTGGCGGTCTAACGGAAAATATACCGCGCGTGTTACCCAAAAACTTAGCCGTGGAACTAGACGCCACGCAATGGAACATCCCTCCAGTTTTTGGTTGGCTGGCGGCGCAAGGTAATGTTGCGCCTGCTGAAATGCAGCGCACCTACAACTGCGGCCTTGGCATAATTTTGGTGGTCGCGCCAGAACTGGAACAGTCCGTATTGGCAGAGCTGCAATATTGTGAGCGTGCCGCGCACATAGGCGTGGTAGTGCAACGCGCGCAGCCCGAAGCTCCGCAGGTTGTGGTGGAGAACTTCTCACGTTGTCTGAAGCGAGTGCAGGAGCTGCAGGGAAAGCCGCGCAAGCGCGTAGCTGTGCTAATTTCCGGCACGGGCAGTAATCTTCTAGCGCTTATCGATGCTTGTCGCGACACGTCCCAAGGCGTGCATGCCGACATTGTATTGGTGATATCGAACAAGGCGGATGTATTGGGCCTTGAGCGCGCGAAAAACGCAGGCATACAGGCGGTGGTGGTGTCACACAAGCAGTATGCCAAACGGGAGGACTTCGATGCGGAAATGAGCAGAAAACTGGTTGAACATAATGTAGATCTGGTGTGCTTGGCTGGTTTTATGCGAGTATTGAGTGAGCAATTTGTACGCGAGTGGAGGGGTCGATTAGTGAACATTCATCCGTCATTGTTGCCCAAACATCCTGGTTTAAAGGTGCAGAAGAAAGCGCTGGATGCAGGTGACAAAGAATCTGGATGTACAGTGCACTTTGTGGATGAGGTATGGGCATAATTTTAAAAGACTTGGATCGGTTTTGTCTAAGTAGTTTTTCAAAACTTTTTAGGGGGTTGATACTGGCGCCATCATTGTACAAGCGAGTGTGCCCATCCTTCCGAACGATACCGAAGAGACCTTGACAAACCGCATACATATTGCTGAGCACTTTGCATTCCCTAAGGCATTGCGTCTGTTGGCCACTGATGCAGTCAAACTGAGCCAGGATGGCAAAACGACTTTTACCTGATTGTTTTTAAAATTTTCAGTCATACTTATTTAGGGGAGAATAAAAGTATACACTATATGCATTTTTCAGTTAGTAGATATATGTAGATATGTAAGCTTAGGCTACTTTAAAGCACGAATTTGTGGAGCAGCTGCGTATAGCGTGTCTTTCTTGGTTAAAATTTCTTATACAGTTAAAACTTTCGGCCGTATGATATTAGAACACAAGTCCCTATATACATTAAGAATGTAACAGTAATGCAATCTTTTTTTTTAAGGTCTTTGATTGTAATAAAAATTGGCAAGTTTCTGAAACTCGAAATAAAAACGCATAAAGTACACAAATTTTAGCTAAGCAAATAATCAAAAATTTATTCAAAATTCCAATAAAATTTACATATCACTACAGCCTCCAGCGGCCCAACATCACATATATGGTTGGTAATCAAACTTGCCATCGGGTCTATCCAATCTCTTTCGCATTTAAAACAACGAACCTATGAAAGTGAATATATCAGTTTTTGAAACATTTCCAGAGTTTTGTTTAACGCTCGTGGTTTCATCTTGCCGCTTAAAATGCTTCAATGCCTCTGGATCGCTTAGGACTTGCTCAGACACTTTATCTATATTGACGCGAAATAGTTGATTTTGCAGTATAGGTACGATTAAATTATATTTGTCTATATTTTTGTTAATTTGCTTGACGTCGTCACTATATCGCTCCAATACTTGCTGCCAGGCGCTGCTTTCTTTTTCATTAAGTGGATAATCTCCAAAGAAACATCGCTCTGCGCGTAATTCATCGCGGAGTCTTTGAACTGCCTCGCGTATATCGCGTTGTAGTGTTATCCATTCCGGCGTAAAACCGTTGTCAAGTAGTATTTTATTTAATTTGTGCGTTGTAAAATCTAAATAGGGATTTTGTGTTTGCGCGCTACTCAACGGCTTTCCAGCACATCTCAGATTGTCAAAGTCGCCTTTTGCCATGGCCTCTTGAATGAGATCCTCACAAATGCGATCAAAGCCATATTTTGTTTTGATTGCGTGATTTTTATAAAAGGTGCCTTTCTTCATGATTGTACGTTCTCCAGCTTGCGATTTCTCAATGCGATGACTTAAAACACGCTCCTGCGCTTTCATTGCTTTGATTTGTTGGTATTGTTTTTGTCTCTGAAAAGGATTGCCGACACCGACACCATCATAACTAAGGTACTGACGATGTTGCGGCGCCGTATGCTTTATATCAAAAACTTCCTCTTCTTCGTCTTCAAAAATATTCCGTCGATTTTTGGCGAACTTTTCCTGTAGAACTTTGAAAGCCTCGTCTACTTCCTGAAACCGTTCAGCGCTTGCTTCCGGTAGGCCAGAGTCCGGATGGACTCTCTTCACCAAATCGATGTACGCATTACGAACAGTGTTTTGGTCGGCTGCTTCATTGACGCCTAGTATGCGAAAACATTTCTGAAGGCAGAAATGCACAATAGTATAATTTTTTGTAATTAAGGAATTTTGTTACCTTATATAGTTCCACGCGCTTAATATGCATTCCCCTGCACTGTAAAGTAGCTTTGCGCCAACAAAAACTTGGTAGTAATTTAAATTGAACTCCTACAGGCAGCATTTTATAAAAAAAGACTTGATTTCGGTAAAAAATGGGACTGTTAACAACGGCAATCGAAGGTCTGTGGTTAAACGCTGTTAAATAGCCAAGTTGAATGTACAAAAAATTTACCATTAAATTATTTACTTACGCGTAAAGCTTTGATTCTAATAAGCTCCGTATTTGCTATATTCAAACTATTTTTTAATCATGACTCAAAATATTTTGTAAATTGAAAAGGAATGATTACCAAGAAGAAATTTATTATTCAATCGATCCCCAATGTTGATATGCCGCTAATCAAAACAACATCAGCTGATCGCTGAACAGGGCTACACAAATATAGTTTGTTTTTTTTTAAACTTATAAAAATTTAAAATAAATGTCATATATATGTAGTACTTTGGTTTAATTTCCACAATCTTTTTCAGATTTAAGTTGCTTAAAATTGCCTAATATTATCCCAACAAAAAGTATATTTCGAGGATATAAAAATGAACTGATATTTATTTATTGAGATATTTCGAATGCCAAACAAAGTTCCCCAAATTAACTATCCTTTTAGCTCTTTCTCTCTTCGATTATATACCTCTATCACCTTCTATTGCCCGCTTTGGCCTTTATCTCAGCTTTCGTACTGTATTTCTTTTTCACTTGCAAACCGAGTACAAATACAAAAACATAAATTGAAAATCATTTCAGATTCCGATGTCAGTTCAGGTGGAGGCGGAAAAAGTGTTGATTGAGTATATAGGAGAAAATATTTCTGTGCAAATATTTAAACTTTTTAAAATTGTGTAATTATAATTAAAATAGTGTCTGAAATATAAAAAAGTGAGTTTGCAAAGATGTCCGAGAAAAAACGTGCAAGGCGTCGTAAAGATGTAAGTTGGAGAAACGTGTAGGAGGAATTACATTTGGAGAAAATTGTAGACGTGATTTTGCAATCCGAAGCAATTTCGTTTGCCATAAAGTACTTGTTTTCGTTCGAATGCGTATCCAAAAGTACGACATCTGCAAATGCAAAGATCAATTACGGAAAAATTATTGCGCATATAAATTTCGAATGGGCTAGTGGCTTCCACGAATGACCAGATAAATGAAGTATCTCGTCAAACGCATTGAAATTTGGTAAAATAAAGATTTGTGCTCATTTGTTACTATAAATATTGCTGCAAATATGAGCGAAGTCTAAAATACTTTAATTATGTAGCATTTTCAGGCATTTTCACCTGCTACAGTGTTATATAGGCGTCAATTGCTGCTTATAGTTGCTGGAAAAACATATATGTATCCATATATATATGCTGGATGAAATGATTTGTTTTTGCTCAGCGCTCATGAAAATTGTTTTTGTTTAACAGGGGGAAGCGGGCAAACGTGCGATTGAGTAGTTGACGTGCCAATTGTGTGGGGAAATCTCGCACTTTTTCACTCACACTTGGTCTTTTTTAATTTGACTGCATATATTGTGCTTTCATTTCTTTAGTACAGCGATAGTTTAGTACATTCATTATTTTGACATTCTGTGTTATCTCTTTTCTATGTACCATATGTTATGCGAGGCTGCACAATCAGCTCTGATTAGTATTTCCCTATATAATAGTTTGAATTCCAATTAAACAAGTTATGGTTTAACTTTCTTGAATCAGAGTTGCTGCTGACATGATAAACAGTCTGAATGGGTAGCTTATCTCTATACTTATTTATATTTATTTTCAATCCCGTCAGTATGATTATCCATACTATTGATAAGGCACATTGATTTTGCCACATTTAACATTGTACCTACCAAATTCTAATTTATTTGATCCGCTTTGATACTGACAACTAACATTTTAAACAATAAAAATTGTAGATTAATGTTCAATAACTAAACAAACGAGAAGCGCACAACATAAAATAACATTTGTTTACAAGAAAAATTGTAATTACACATGATTCTATTGATGATAAACCCACTCCAAGGTCAAATTTTGTTACTGAGTAATGTGTAGGTACATATCGCCCATTTGCTACAAGAGTGTCAATCCAAAAAATTTTTGTTGTTAAGTATGTGGAAATTCATAGCTGTATTGATTAACCGCAACTTATTACATAAAAATTGACACTGAAGATGGCACAACGCCGAAACCGGTTTGTCTCCAAACCAAATATGACAAGGGATGACGGAAAATCGTTCCACATTACATCACACTCCTACCCTGTCGGAAACACCAACAACGAAAATGAGAAAAATTATCTTAATTTTTACTAAGTGAGCGTATGTAAACTGTACACTTTAAACCGTTTTCCCAAGTTTTTGTTTTCCTTGGATTATGATACCCTTGCGGGAAATGAGCGATATGTTGCACTAACAAGCACTGTATGCCTATTTTATAATGAGGGCATTCAATAAGGACGTGCTCGATCGTTAATGATGTTGGGGAGTACCTACTGTTCCGATGTTCGGTCTTGGAAGTGCGCAACTCCAACTGGGTTTGTCCATAGGGACAGGGGTGTTAGTTGACTTGGGCTTTGGGGGCATGCGAATATTGGAGTTATGGATGACTCCCCGTATGCCGGGCACTGGTTGGGCACGTCTGGATCTAATCTAGTCAGGTAGGAATTAAGCCTACTGCAGTAGCCAAAACGAAGTTTTGATAATTTGAAATATTGTTTTGCTGCTTCATCAGCCCTTTTACATTTTGTTTCATTTTATTTTTTAACATTTTATCATACAAGATTTTAAATGTCCATATGTACATAAGTATATCGTTGCGCAAAACCTCGTATGAGAGGCTGTCAATAGGAGAGAGCAAAACTTGACTTATTTCCAAACGGTTCTGTTGTTGTTGTAGCAGCATACAAATTCCTCAAAGACTTTTTGGGGAGTGTTGCTGGAGTGACAGTCCTTGGCCAGATATAAATCTGGGTCGTTCCGGTTACGTAGACCCGACTGTCGTGGGAACGTCCAAACGGTTCTCTCTTTTATCCCTAATTATCTCTTCTTCTTATATTTAGGTATCGATATTTTAGTATAAGTGGATAAGGATTTGATGCCAGGAGCTTCCGAAGAGCAAATATCTTTTTTGGCACAAAAGTTAGATACGAGCTTTTGCAGAACCAAGATACGCGGTTTTGACTTTTAACGACGATATGTATTTTTCCGTATTTTAGCTAAATTGGTTTCCACATTCAATTGATTTAGAAGCCATGCTTTGCACACTTGACTTCTGTGTGATCCTCGTTTCAGTTTTGAGATGTGGTAGAAAGTGATGATTCGCAATTACATTTGTAAATATGTATGTATGTACATGCCTAGTATGTACATATTGTAACTGTAGCATGGACGTCATAAGATTCATTAAGTAATTAAAAATTGGAATTTCAAAAGCGTAGAAAGTCGCAATCTATTGGCCTTATTCATAAAAAATAAAGTAGGTTTGTAGACAAGGCGAATGAATAGGTGCGTTCGTTTAAAATCTCCAGCAGAAACCAACCAACTGCAAAATTTCGGCGATATGTCATCTGTTCTCTCACAAGAGAGAAATATCCAAAATAGTACGCGAACAGAAAATTTGCAGAAACTTGCAAGTTAGACGAACAGCTGATATAATTTTTGTTTACATACAAAAGTGTAAAATTTAAAACGTACGAAAAGTCATCGCAAAGTGTTATACTGACACAGTTTATTGCTTAAACAAATAACTACTTATTTCTTACAAGTTTAATTAGTCGCATTTTGTAATTTTTATCTTCCAAACCATCAAATTCAATTTTGTGATTTGCGTAAATGCCAACCAGCTGTTTTTGAACAGCTGTTTTCCTGTTGGCAAATTGCTGTTGGCAAAAATTTTTCCAGCAGAAACCAGCAGCTTCCCCTCAAAATGAAATGTCAGTTTGCTCTCTCAATTTCCCCTACTTTGCAAGTTTTTTGCGTACGCGAACGCAAAAACTTGTAAGTTTTGGTTAAACATGAACAATTAACAGCTACGCGAACGAACCTAATATAAGGTGATAGCAGGAGTACAAAAACAAAAATTTACATGTATTTTGTTTTTGCTTTGGCGGCATAAACTGTCAAAATCTGTAATAGTGTGTGTAGAAATTCAAACAAAATTTTTCAAATTGACATCGGAAGCCGTGCGTGATTCTTACAGACCAGTGAATGCTGAAAGCTAAAACTAAAGCTAGGTTAACAATTCATTTAGCGTTTGGATTAAAATTGGCTTAAAGAGTGAAAAGTCTTAAATACCATTTTGAGACTCGACACATTTGAGGGTTCTGACAAAATATTTTATTGCACATGGAGAATGGCTGACTAGCTTGGTGACGTAGTAAATGATAATCGTTTACAAGTACAACAATCCTCTCCGTGGAGCAACAAAGAAACAGAAGCCCATATCAAAACCAGCGTTGCCATTTTAGCCGTTTTCCGGCTAGATTTAGCCGGTATTGCTAGCAACTAGCCGGAGAAAATTCGATCTAGCCGGCAGCCGATTTGTTAGCCGGTTTGTAAAAAAAAGTTAGCCGTTTTTAGCCGATTTTACTATTTGCCTAATTTTCAGGTGCAAAAAGTAAACAAGTTGTACGAAAGCAATAATGCAGACCCAATGAAGATTTTTAATGAACTCAATGTTTTATTTTCGCATCTATGCTCCCTAGTGGTTATTAGCGCCATACCTTGCTCCATTTCCTCAGTTTTATCACAGTTTTGAAGAGTATTTAAAAACAAAAGTAAGCACAAACGCTTTTGACCACGAAGCCGAGAAAAAAACTCGAGAAAATGGTCGCTATTTTATTATCACTTTAATAAAGGAATTACGCCCAACGCCTCGCTACAAATATTGCCACACTAAAAAAAATTGACTTTTTTCGGTTGGAAATGCATTAAGAGTAATTAAACCAAAAGTATTTGTTCAACTACAGCAACAAAAACACAAATATAATGCCGACGAAATAACATCCATAGAAATGCAATGGCAACGGTTAACGTTACATACCTGGAGTAATTTAGACTCAACTGTAAAATTTTGGGCCGAAGTTTATCATTTACGAAATGCCCTAGGAGAAAACCCTTTTTCTGACCTTTCCAACCTAGTTTTTAGTTTTCTTGTTTTGCCTATAAGTAATGCAGAAGTAGAGCGAATATTTAGTTCAATGAATATAATAAAAACTAAGCAAAGAAATCCAATGTGCGTTAAAACGTTAAACGCTATTTTATATATAAGATACGGTTTAAAACGTGAAAAAAAATGCTGCCATAATTTTACTGTAGATGACGATCTC